TAGTGATGTGCCATTTATATGATATCTGAAAAATTTTAGCGTACAGTACGTACAGTACGTATAGTTCTTTTTCTGGCATCTGATTGGCTGAACAAGTGATCGGCAAAAATTTTAGCGTACGTATAGTACTGTACGTGGCACATCACTAATAATAACCCAAAGTAATCAGACATAGGAACACCCTAAAGTAGCAACTACATGAGAAAGAGTTCTAGGAATGCAGAGGCGTAAAATAAGGTGTATATTTGGTAGTACCCAAAGATAGAATAATATATAGAAAGAAAAAAAAATTATATTTTTGCGTACTACCGCTGTTAGGCAGGTAAAAGGTCCAGAAGGCAGAAAAGTTCAAAGAATACAAGAAAAAGAGTATGAAAGCTGCCAGTCTGAACCAATTCGGCACTTTGTGTCTCATTCTCGGCAAATAAACAGGTGGGATTGCAAGAATGGCACAACATCGACACTTCGTATATGCCTCAATGGCAATCAAGAAATGAGCGAATGAAATGCAGCACACCTTTGACAAATAGCATGATTGCAATTCGGCACTTCATGCCTCACCCGGTAATCGAATAGGCATCTCTAATCCTCTGACTAACTCGAAAGTAATGAGAAAGTGGCGTTTTAGTTTCTCCATTTAATGCGCTCGAAAGTTGAGAGAAAGTGACGAAGAAGTGATGAGGAAGTGACAAGTAGAGGTCTAATCTGGTTAAAAAAATGGCGATTCGGATATTCATTTGATCATTCATTTTATATCCGAATAAATATCAGTGATATTCGATATGATATTCGATGTACGTACAATTTAACTTAATATAAGTATTAAAATAACGATAAGCTAAGCTATTCAACATCGCGATACTAAGTAATGATCGATCATGATAATTTTAACCAAGCAATCGGTTATATCAGGTTTGATTACAATTTCTATTCAGGACTAAACTCTAAATATTTAATTAAAGTTGCATCGTTATTTCTTAAGTTACAAATTTTAATTTTATTAACTTGTATTACCGAATGTCACTGAATATTCATTGAATTAATCAGTGAATAATAAATATATTCGATATTTGATTTGGTGAAATTATTATATATCCGAATAATTATTCAACGGATCAGACCTCTAGTGACGAAAAAGTGCCTGGAACTCAAGACGCAGTAAGATGCAGTATAAATTTACTTGATTTTGGTCAGCACTATCTGCCGGTTTTTTGGACACAATAACTCAACATCCAAGCTGGCATAATAGGTGATTAGAAACTAGCGAACTAATAGAATCTTTCTGTTCCTTGCCAGTTCCACGACACTCCTCTGCCACTATCATAACGCTGGCATGGTCAAGCTGGAACCCTCAAATCACGTGCCACAAGATTGGCCAGATCTATGCTATAGTGCAGACCAAACCTAACCGCGCCATACATCACTTATCATAGTAATGGTTTTTTTTTTTTTTGCCAACTAGAGCTTCTTAACAATAAAAAGGGCACAGAAAAAGGTCAAAAAAGTAAGCTTTTTAGCAATAACAAGGAATAGAAAGCACCTAAAATACTGTAATAGTTTAACTAGTACATATTAATCATATATAATAATGTTCTACAGTAGATTAATCAATAGACTATACAGATAATGTTTTAGAACATATTAATCAATATACAATAATATTTTAATCAATAAACTATAATGTTCTAGAATATATTAATCTAAACTAAGTAGATATATTAATATATAAATAATATTTATCTAATTACTATATTATAATTTATTTGAAGATTATCTATTTAAACTCTCTAATTAGACAATACTTACTAACTATTTTTAAGCCAAAGTATTTTACCAAATTTATCTTTTTTAATTTTTAATTAAAGTTGTAACTCTTATTAAAATAATTTAATATACTGTATAGTAATAAACCATTAAAATCAGTTTAGCAAATTATAAGATATAAATCTCTTTTGATTTTTTACTATATATAGTAATTTTTCTTTAATACCAAAACTTCTGGCATTTTACTATATATAGCAATTTTTTCTTTAATACCAAAACTTTTGGCATTTTAGCTTTATATAAAAGTACCGTAAAGTATGGAAAATAACACAGCACCCTCTATCCTGCTTTTTCAATTTCAGATTAACGGGAATAACTTGATTAAAGGTTTTATTGCTATTTCCGCTAATTTGAAATTGAAAAAAGTAGGGTAGAGGATGCTGTGCTTATTTTCCATAATTTACGGTAATAAAAATTTACTATAAAAATTTACTATAGAATTTATATCTTTAACTATAAACTGCCTTTTAATATATAAATAAATTTTCAGTCAAAATGCTATGTTCAAATAATTTAATTAGATATTTGAGCATAGTCCAAATGGTTAAATAATTTTTAAACCTTTAGACATTAGACAATGTCCAAAAAAATTACAAAATAAAATTGAACATATGTTTAATTTATCAATTGACATATACTTAAATGTCTAATAATTTTATTAGACAAATTTAATAATTGGCTGAAGCTGAGAGTGAGTAAAATAGCGATGGCGCAAAAATTTGTCGGTCCCGTGATTTTTATTCAATCCGATTGTAGGATCAGTGTGTAACATATAAATGCGAAGTAAAAAAAAAAAAGTCGAAAAAAAATCCAGAAATCGCAAAAAAAACTCATAAATCCGCAAGAGAAATTGGTCTTTGTTATTATGTAAAAATTTTTAGCACAAAAATTTAGATATATTCTTTCTACTTTGTATTAATGCAAACCATTAGATGATATCATTGTTATTGAATTAGTCACGGGACCGCCAAATTTTTGCGCCATCACTATTTCACTCGCTGAGAATAACTTTCAAGTCTTACTCTACTAGGCTTTAGAATGCCCACCCTCCACTTATTTTAGATTCAATAACCAAAATTGAACCTAAATTAAGTTCAATGTTTGGATCCAAAATCTTGGTTTAAAAGATAGTATATACAGTAGCTGACTTTTAATACTTCTGTATGATCACATGATGGGCTTTCGAGTAATTTTGAACACATGATATTTAGTTTTTGAGATTAAAATTTTCGGTGATTTAGGGATCATATATTTAAATCAAATAATGCAATAATGCTGGCCGAAATTTTGTAAAGCTGAATGAAAATTACTTGAAATTCGATTTACTGAAACTTACGTAAAATTACATGTATTAACACATCTCTACTTATAATCACGGTATTTGTTATTGCCCAGAATTTTCATTATTTTTCGGTGTATTTTAAATTTTTATACAAGTTTTGAAAATTATTCTTTGGTCTTCACGATGGTTTTATTTAGGGAGAAGGTTTTTAAAATCTCACAATAGTATTACTTAACAGATAATTAAATTAAAATTTTTTTTATGTCCAATAAAAAAATTTATAATGCTCAATAAATTATTTGGACAAATTGGACATTGTCCAAATGGTCCAATATTATGACATGCCATCCAGGTAATAATAAAACCATTCCAAAAAAAAAATTTATTCAAACTGTCTTATTAAACATTATTACCCAATAATGATCTAATTGATATTCAAAGAATGACTGACATAAATTAAAAATACGACAAAAAATTCATACACTCAATCAAGGCTTCAATAAAAATTGAAATTTATACGTTCGCTATCAAGTAAATTAACATTAATAATGAAATAATCTGCAAATGATTTGCCAATCAGATGGACTTCTGCCTATGAACGTTATTTCGATTACTGATGTCATATAATTTAAATCTTCTACTAGCAATAAAATGCTCAAACTTTTTAATAATAAATTACTAAGAACCGATTTGAAAATGAGAGCTAACCAAAAACATCAACGGACCTGTTGCATGTATCATGAATACAGTGGGACCATCCCTATTATAGACCTATCTAATCGGACTCTGTTTATGAAGGATCAAACTCCATGTGATTGTTCTAATTAGTCATAGTAGCAATTAATTTTCCGATTAAAGTTACCGATCATAAAAGGTGTCAAAATAATATTTTTAGGCTGAGAAAAAAAAAGCGTCCCGAATAGAGCTCAAATAAATAAGTATCCATTAGCCTCATTGAAATCTTCCATTGTCCCCATTGGTTCCATCGCCAACTCTGTTGTGTAGGCGTGTACATAAATATTAGGGAGAAAATGAAAATTTCATAAATTAATTTACAAGTTTCCTTTTACAGTTACTCCAAAATACAGTATTAAATGGTTAATGAAAAAACGTGGGTACGTAATGGAAGATAATTGAACAATACAGTAGTAGTAGTATGTTATATTTTGACAATATTTATTTGACAGGAAACAGAATTATAACGCTTTGACCACGAAAGTTACCTATCAAAATAGAATAAAACTACTTACAGAATGAATAGCTTCTTGGAGTTAAGTCATTTTTGATACCATATTTGATAATTTTTCGTTATGCATAAAAGTATACGTATTACAAGTAAGATATGCATATTCTATTGATAACCAAATATAGTAGGTCCATGAAATATCGATATTCCTGTATTCATAGATAAGACTGTAATAAGTTTAGTGACATGTTTATTTAATGTTTCAGGGCTCTTGTTAAAGTACATCCGAATGTACTTGGTACTATACTCAATATAGCAATATGTGTGCTGAAATAAGAATATTCAAAAAATCTCACAAATTCCAAATCTTAGGAGTATCACTTGCCACGCGGTGTATCATAACTGATACGTACACTGATAACACATATGCATATGTACAGTATGTATGTATGCAAATGGCACTAGAGTCAAGTATAATATGTATTTGAAAAAAAGTTGTTTTATTAAGAATTTTCAAGCAAACCAAGCATAACTAGTATGCTTAGACAAGAAAAAAATGAAAAATGTGAATTAACATTAATCAACCTTTAATGTCCAAATTTATGTTAAATGTTTTCTGTTCTTTTTTTTTTTTTTGCTTTTTTTTTTGGCAAAACAAATTAGAGTTAAAGGTGATAAAGGGATCACACACAAGAGAAAAAAATACAAGTAGTGTAATACACAAAAACAACAAAGCACCAAAAAAAAAAGAAAAAAATGTAAGATGCGATGTTGTTGATGTACATGTGACTAGTATACACATCGGCCACGAAGAAATTATATGTACTTTCGAAAAACAAAAATATCTAACAGTATCTAACAGTTATAATTTAATAAAGGAAAAAAAGTTTGTTTTTTTTTGTTTTTTTTTTATAACTTCATTTTTCCAAAAAATGAAGAAACCAAATGTCGAAAATTACATCTACTATTTGAAGGATGTTTTTCTTTAATTTCATTATCCAAAGATTTTACTTTAAATAATATTGTTCCATGATCGAAAGCATCGTTAAAAGTAGCTGTTGGAGTAGAAACTTCAATTTCACCACCTTGAGCACGCATTAAATTTGATAAAGTATCAGTCATAACTTCAATTGCTATGATTGAAGATACCGAAGATCTTTGCGTGGAAGGTAATTGATCAGAATTCATATAATCATCTTCAGTTTGACTTGATGTACTCGATACATTTGTAGAAATGCTATTTGGAGTATTTGGAGTATTTGGAGTAGTCGCAGTAAGCGTCGAATCTTTTACTTCAACAAATTTGTGTGAAGTTGCAGAGAGTTTTCGTTTGTATAAATGAATCATTATTAAGAATACACTTAGGGAAACCGGTATTAATATGCCCGTAGTAATTATAATAATAATTTTAATTGATTGTGAATTTGGAACAGTAGTGTCTTGTGAAGGTGAACCGGATGGATGAATAAGAATGAAATTATTGTTTCATGCAATAACGCTATCATAAATTGAAAAAAATTAAAAATTAAAAATTACCATGAGATGATTGAGAATTAACAATTTCGGATGATAATTGAAATTGAGTTGTTGATGGAGATAAAGATGTTATAATATCTGTCGATGTAATAATTAACATAATTATTTTCCCTTGGATTTTTGAACATTCAAAGGTAAATTTGATGATATCTTGCAAAGTATATTAAATAAATCTTTACCATGTTCATGCCTACCTGTCGATATGATGAGAAAAGCGTGGCAAAAAAAATTATGCCTAATAATTTTTAAAAAGAAAGTTGTTTCAACAATCACAAGTATATATATTAAATTAAACGTTATTATTAATTTTAAGATTTTTCATGGGCAAAAATGTTTTTGTTGGTTTCAATGTAAAAAAAAAAAAAAAAAAAGGAATTGGTTCCAGCACAGCCTTCTAATATATATCAATATTTCGCGAGTAACATATAATCGGAAGTTAACACTAATTCAATAATAATAATCATATGAACATTTTAGAATTTAAAAAAAAAAAAAAATGCGCGTAATGAGTCCTTGCTTAAATGTTTATTATTTACGTTACCACTAAACAAGGTTAGATCAACTTGATGAAAATCGAATTCGATTAAAATCCAACACTAACTACTAATATAGCTATATCAGGACGTAAACTTTATTTGGGGTGTTGGAACACTTTGGGTAAGCATATGAAGTTACGTAATTCCAAGTTTTTGAGAATTTTGGTTACCGTTACCTAGTAAAGTTATACAAAATTATTGGTTTTAGAAATACTATTGCATGCAGTACTACTTACATGTTGATGCATAATTTGTACCAATTAAATTTTTAAACGGTCAGTCAACTACAAAATGATTACTCAAGCTAAAGAGGTAATATTTTTCAACGGTTTATAAAATAATTAAATATACAAATAAAACTAAGTATTATAGTCTGATAGGGTGTATGTAAAGCATTGACCTTCGAGTTTAACATTCTAATATCATTATTGTGTGATGAGTTTCTTCTAAAAACATGTGCCCCTGATCGGAATAGTTACTTTAAGTAGAATGTTTATGTTACAAATTTCTATTTGCTTTATAACGCCATCGGGTTGATTAGACAATGGCAGGAAAGAGGCGCTAACGAATAACGTCTTGGAAGTCGTGTTCTATATAAATCAGCCAATAGCATATAAGTAAAATAACTGCTAATAGCATTAATAAAAACTACACTAAGCGAAATCTTAATAAAAATTTATATGTATTTTCTAGGCATCGTTACACGCAAATTACCTAAAAACTTCGTAATACTGTATATATTGGTGTATACTAAGTAAACATCAGATGATCGCTATTACGCGGCAAAGAGGTTTGAAGATGCAATATCATGACAATATGTTTATTATTTGAAATAGTAAGTGAATTGACGATTAAAATATGTGTTTGTTCGTGTATTAAGACTCTCCTTATTAAAAAAATTATGGTGTGTCAGACTAATTGATTAGATTTTTAAATATTATATCCCTCGCTTTATTATATCTATTCTTTTGGATAATTATGCTCGATAAAATAAATCCAATAAAAATAATATATATAATATTTAATAGGCTACATAATATATTTACAAGAAACATTGGCTCTATAAACATTCTTGATAAAATCGATATTGTTCACATGATTTCATAAACACGTATATAGTGTTCTTATGCTCCAAATCTAGTAATAATAAATTTTTTTCTTTGATTCACACGTCATAGTATGCTTAGTAATCTATTTACTTATATCGTATAAGCACAAATTACTTCTAAGACCACAGTTGTATCTAATAACAAATATTTGCTTAAAAAAATAATTATCTCAACTAAATTATATTTATTAAACTTTAACTCCTTATCATTAAAAACTTGTTAATGATCATATTTTCGCCCTTGAGGTCTCGTGATATAACTATCTGCGATCCTATAATTCACGTGATAACCCGCTTTGACCTCTTTTTCCCTGAAATTCTATAAGCCATGACCTTCCATTTAACGTTAATCTGTTTTTTTTACTCAATTAAGCATTTGTCATTCTGATTAACGTTAATAGGATTTATTTTTAAATGATATTCCGTCATAGATACTTCAATGAAAAAAAACTATTGTTTCACTTTTCAATCACTATGTTTCAAAGAATACTGTAAATTTTTATGATATTAATAAATCAAAAAAAAGAAAAAACCCCGCATGGAATTTTTTTTTCTTTATTTCTTATTTGATGAAATTACCAACCATCCATTAATCTTTCAATTGAATCAATTGCTGGCGTTACTCAACGTGAGCAATTTACTGTATCATTAATGTCTAAGTAACACGAATCTTTAATACTTGTGAAATTTCGAAAAGTTTCTCCGAATAAAAACCGTGTACACACACATAAATATGCATACACGCACGTACTTGTTACATATTAAAATATTATTATTTATCATATCAGATATGGAGTTTTATCTATTTAACCGATAATATTGTCTGTATTCACCGATTTTTATTTTAAATTGTAGAACTGTAAAAAAAATTCGTAACTACTGTACATTCTTCTAAAGTCAGATAATTTTTAAGTTGATTACTAAGTGGATTTATATAATTAAAACACTAGCTTTAGAAATTCTAGTTTAATATACGTACATACGTACATACGAATATTAATTTTTAAAAGGAAAATAATACATCTGATATAATTAGCTTATTAAAGTTAAAGGATACTCATTTAAAAAGGTTAGCATAGTTATTTACGTTCTGTACTTACGTATCAATTTTGATTTATTTATCCAATTAGAGTATTATTGATGCAACTCTTCTAATACTTATAAGTGTTAATAAGTTAAATAAATTGTACGCCAACTGTGTCCTGAGACGATTTAGTCGAGGGCTTAAAGATAATTAGATTATGAGATTATGAGATAGGACTATTTAAATTAGGATGAGACAGAGTTATTTGGCACTTTTCCTTTTTAATATGTACAAGAAAAGAATCTTTTATACAATATAACTATATATTCGCGGAAACTAATGGTTAATCATAGTTTAATCATATGAATTTCTTTTCTACTACAAAATCGGAGTTGGAAACTTAAAACCTAAATATATTATGTATTAATTAATATAGTGACCATGTGTTGATCCGGATTATCCAAATATGTTTCTGGTATATCGATCGATATGTCCATATCCATATATAGTATTCTACCCGGACCTAATTTCTGGAATTTCCTATAAATTAGCCGAAACTGATACACGAAGGTCACACTCGGTCAATAAGTGAACCTCTCTCTGCTTATGGGCGTTCTCAAGCACCCACCTCAATGAACACAATAAAAAATCTGATTGACTAGTTTGATTAAACTAACCAATCTGATTCGTTATTGAGTCCATTGAGGTAGGTGCTTGAGAACACCCTAAATAAATACCATAACTTTTGACAGATATAACTTTCAATATGACAAGAGCTTAAAATGTCTAAATATCCTTGATCTTAAAAAAATCAAAAAAAAAAGTGCAAACTTAATGAAAACTTAAATTTAGATTTATAAGTTAAACAAAATGATTATGTACTTTTACATACACTTATTTAATGATTATTTACTTTCTTACGTACATACGCTTATTAATTACACAAGATCGTAAATGTATAACGATAACGAACATCAATATACGTCAATCGTGACTTAATTAACTATATTAGGAAACGCTGATTACACTATTGTTCTTCTCTAATCATGTTTCTGTTACATTGAACCATTTGAACCATGGTATAATAATTACGTTTGAGCCAAGGTAATTACATGCAGTGCATACGACATGCATGCACGTACGTACGTACGTACATGCGTACATACTTTATTAATGCAACTCACTATCGAATTTAGTAACTTAACCCTAACGCTGATCGTAACGTAATGTTTCATTCGTATTATATACAGTATATTTATCCAGTAAAAATAGTAAATATGATACTCAGTGATGATAAGGATTACTTTTTTGCGTCGATCGATATATAATTTTGCTATAAGGATCCTCTTCCTCTGTAAATAAAGTGTAGATTATAAACATAGATCTACCAAGAAAATAAAACTGACAAATGTAAAAAAAAAATCTTCATTAAATTTAAGCAAATCAATCTACCACTCCGTCAATCCCCTTATCTCTTTGGCTTATTCTTCAACCAGAGTATCGTTTGTCCTATCTACTACTGTGATACTTCATGTACTTACATACGTACTAAAAAATAAATGTCTCCTAATGGATCTTCGGTTTATTATAATATTAAACGATTAATTATTAATCGGTGTATATTTACCCGTATCGGTATTACATTTATTGCTTAAAGTTAACGTTAATTTTTTGCTAAATATATATATTATGATAACGATCATAACGTTGGGGGAGCCAATAAAGTTTTTGTCATTATTTAATTCTATAAATAATATCCAGTGTACTATGAATCTAAACTGAGTTATCCAATTAAGTTCCGAATTGGTTTAGAGTTACGTTTACAAACAAAATAAATTATCCTTTTATTATCGAGCACCTTAAAATATATGATAAAATATTTGTAAATAAATATATATATTTATTATTTGATTGGTTAGTTTCATGTATTTTCTATAGTAAATAATTTTAAACTTTTTTTTAATTGTTGATCTTAGTAAATAAATTGAATTGCTAAATTTTCAAATTTTATGTTTAATTTAGTTTTATCAAAAATTGAATTATTTAAAATAATTTATAAAATAGAAATAATAATAATAATAATCACACCGTGATGTTCAATACCATATAAAAGTTTACTATTAAAATTTATGGAGTTCAATGG